TAAGCCAACTGAAAGATACTAGTAAAACTTGAATCCAGGGGCCGGAGCGATAGTACAGTGGGTAGGGCGTTTGCCTTGCATGCGGCCTACCCCAGTTCGATCCCCAGCATCCAATATGGTCCCCCAAGCACTGCCAGGAGTGATTCCTGAGTGCAGAGCCAGGAGTAACCCCTGAGCACTGCTGGGTGTGACCCAAAAAGAAAAAAAAAACAAAAAACCTTGAATCCACGGATGAAAGTGCAGACAGCTTGAGACTGGTCCTGTGGGCTAGAAGACAGTCTCAGTACTGACTGCCAGAAGTCCCACCAGGCTCTCCTGCTCAGGGGTCACATCGTCAACGAGGTAACGAGGCAACCAAGGTTGATGAAAAGCATTAAAACCTGCCTGTTGGGAAGTTTGCCCCTGCCATTTCCTTGACCCCAATATCACTGAAGATACAGCAGAACAGTGATTGGATTTTTGGAGCAGACAGTGTGTGGGGAGTTGGGGTTCTTTCTCTGACATTCGCCATCCTTTAATGAACTCCAGTATTACCAGTGCTTGGTCTTTACATACATTTTTCTTTACTAAGTTAGACATTATTATGTCCATTTTGTGAACAAGATGGTTCAGAAAGTCTTTATTTTAAACCCTGAGCATTGTCGATGTGGCCTTCAAACAAGCAACACCTGGGCTCTCTTCATCCTAGCAAAACACCTTCCTCTGCCTGGAGTGCTCAATTCAACCCAGAATAGACCACCCAGTGGGCTAACTACCGCTAAAGACAATATCTTTTTCACATCATTTTTCAGAGCTGGTACATGTATCTTATTTTTTATATTTAAAATAAAACTAATTTCAGGGCTGGAGAAACAGTACAGGGGTTCAGGTATTTTTTTTACATGCAGCTGACCTCAATTTGATCCCTGGTACCACATATGCCTCAAGCGCTGGCCCAAGCACCCAGCCCCATCCCCCGCTGCTCAGATAAATTATGCAGGTCACACTTCCAGAATGGTACAAGCATAGTATTAAAATTTTTCATGCATTCATCTCTCATTTCTCCAAATGATCGTTTATCTTTTCCATCTCTATAAGCGCATAAAACCTTCTTAACCACTTAAGAGAACATTGTAGGTATGATATATCTTTGCTCTTAAATACTTTGCTCTGTTTTTTTTTCTTTAAACAAAACAAAAAGCTCGGTGTTGTTCAGTGGTAGAGTACATGTATGAAATCCTAGATTTGACCTGCCAAAAGAACAAAAATGATCATCCCCAAACGTAAATGCAAGCACAGAAGTCAAGGCTTACTAAGGCAAAATGGAAAAAATGGATGCAATCCTATCCCCAATCCACAGACCTTACTGATTTCCCCAGCAGCCTGATGGGCAACATTCATTACTGAAAAAGGAACAGACCCAGTTGCGGAGAGGATGGGGATTCAGATTTTGAGGGAAGGAGCTTTACCTGGTCTTCCTAACCTTTCTCCCTTCTTCCCAAAGACAGACTCTGGCACTGACACCCCTTGAGTCTTCTTTATTTGCCTGGTCCACACAGAGCCTTTGGATCCTTTGGGCTTGGGCAAGTGCTCCAACAGCCTGAGTGTCACCTTCCCTTCATCAGTGTCCCTGGGCTCCTTGCAGCCTGCCTTTCTGACAGGCACATTTTTAAGTTTCGTGGCTGTGACTTGGACCTCCTGCTTTCATTGTTTCTGACTCTGAGGTTTGAATATTTATTTCAGAGAGAGAGAGACATCTTACTGGAGTGTTTCACTACCTCTAGCTTCTTGTTTAGAAGTAGAAATGCTCTGGGGATGTATCCCAGAGACACTGCCACACAGCTGGGGAGGGGCCATGCAGGAGCACACTGGCTTCAGGGGCACAGTGAAGGGATGATGGGTGTACTCACCACAGAGCATCAGAAGGGACATGGTGAACACATGGACCACGGCCCTGGGGAGGGAGCCTGGAGCAGAGGCTATGAACCAATGGTCCTGAAAAGCAACTCTTGAATGAAAAGCTACCCTATGGCTGGAAAGACAGTGCAGAGGGTAAGACACTTGCCTTGTACATGACCATTCTAGGTTTGATCCTCAGGACCCCAAGTGGTACTGAACACCGCCAGGAGTGATGCCTGAGCAGAGCCTGGAGTAAGCATTAAGCACAGCTGGATGTGACCCAATCACACACACACACACACACACACACACACACACTTTTTTTTTTCTTTTTGGGTCACACCCGGTGATGTTCAGGGGTTACTCCTGGCTCATACGCTCAAGAATTACTCCTGGAGGTGCTCAGGGGACCATATGAGATGCTGGGTATCGAACCCGGGTTGGTCACGTGCAAGGCAAATGCCCTACCTGCTGTGCTATCGCTCCAGCCTCCTCTTTTTTTTAAAAGAGAAAACATAACTAACTCACAAAGAGGCAGAGGATAAGCGGCAGCATCTCTAACAGGGGTTCTAAAAGGATGCTGATGGAAACATTTCCATTTTGTTTTGTTTTGAGGTTACGGTGCACTATTGCTCGGGGACTATACTGGCATGCCTCAATGCCCAAAGGTTGCTCCTGGTTGTGCTAGGGGAGTCAAGTGAGGAGGTTTGAACCCAGGCCTCCAGCGGTCACACATGCCTTCCAGCCCTCTGAGACATGCCCCAAGCCCCTAAGCATGCCATTTTCCATAGAATGCCACATTCTTTCTTTTTAGAGAAGTCACTCCCAAGGTACTAGAGGCAAGGCAGAGGAATGTATGCATATGACAGGGAAGGGGTGGGGTGGGATGGGGAGACCAGGGCCATGCCCACCTATATTTTGAGGGGACCTGAACCCAGGGCTTCATATATGCTGAGGGATTGTCACTTGAGCCATCAGCCCAGCCCAGGTGTTGTCCTTCAAAGTGGTCAATAGAAGGGGCAATCCCAAACAGCGGAGAGAAAGGAGGAGGGATAAAGACAGAGACCCTGCTAAGTGAAATGAGTCAGAAAGAGAGGGACAGACAAAAAAGGACTGCACTCATTTGTGTAGTACACAATAACATAACATGAGGCTATCCCGCCTCCCCCAGATGGAACCCCGGTGACCAGAAGCCTCACAAGCACAGCTCGAGTATGCGGGATCTAGGACTTTTTCTCAAAACCACGCGGCCGCGTAAGCGGCCGCACGACATCTCTCTATATACAAAGTGATCAATGGGAAGTAAACCACCCAACGTTTCTCCCTGAAAATCAGAGTTAAGTTTGGAGCACGGCCACAGCCCCAGAAACACAAGGACTTAATGCAGAAACCAGCAGCTTGGAGCAGAAAAGCGAACGGACTATGCGTTAATCCAGGCCAGCATGTCTGCCCGGCGGGGAAAGGGTGTTGCCCCATTCGCCCTCTCCTCTCTGGAAAGAAAGATGGGGGCCACATGGGAGCCTTGTGGACAGCAGGTATGAGCCGGGGGTGTGGGGGCAACTAAAACCTCATGGGAAGGGGGGCGTTCCGGTCCGTCCTTCACGCCCTACCAAGGTCACCAGTTGCCCCCCACGAGCGGCTCTCCAGCACGGCCACAGCCCCAGAAGCACAAGGACTTAATGCAGAACCCAGCAGCTTGGAGCAGAAAAGTGAAAGGACTATGCGTTAATCCAGGCCATCATGTCTGCCCGGAGGGGAAAGGGTGTTGCCCCATTCGCCCTCCTCCCTCTGGAAAGAAAGATGGCGGCCACATGGGAGCCTTGTGGACAGCAGGTATGAGCCGGGGGTGTGGGGGCGACTAAAACCTCATGGGAAGGGGGGCATTTCGGTCCGCCCTTCACGCCCTACCGAGGCCACCAGTTGCCCCCCACGAGCGGCTCTCCAGCACGGCCACGACTCCAGAGCACAGAAACCAATTTCTTAACTATCTGACTTTCAGTAGAAATACTTCCAGGGTCAATAAGTAAAATAGCAGAAATCCAAAACCAACATTTAATTCTTGAACCCAGCTGTAGAAAGCAAATCACTTCACAATGCTTTTTCAGCATGTCTGATTGGGGGGAGGGGTAAACTCTAAATAATAGTGGTGAATCTTTTAATGAAACAATGAATCTAATCAAAGCAGATAGAGTGTTAACTAGAATTCATCTGCCTCACAGGGACTGGGAGGGGTGGGGGTGGGGTTTTATTGGGGTTCTTCATGGTAAAATATGGGTATTGGTAAAGGGAAATGTGTTTGATATTTGCATGACTGAGACCGAAACCTGAAAGCTTTGTAACCTTTCCCACAGTGATTCAATAAATAAATAAAAAAAATAACATGAGGCTGACACCCAAGTACAGTAGATACAAGGGCCAGGAGGATTGCCCTATAGCTGGAAGCCAGCCTCATGAGTGGTGGGGAGAAGGCAGATGGTATGGAGAAGGGATCACTAAGAAAATGATGGCTAGCCAGAGTGATAGCACAGCGGGTAGGGCGTTTGCCTTGCACGCGGCCGACCTGGGTTTGATCCCTGGCATCCCATATGGTCCCCTGAGCATCACCAGGAATGATTCCTGAGTGCATGAGCCAGGAGTAACTCCTGAGCATCGCCGAGTGTGACCCCCCCCCAAAAAAAAAGCAAAAAAAGAGAAAAGAAAAGAAAAGAAAATGATGGCTGGAGGAATCAGTCGGGATGGGAGATGTGTGCAGAAAGTAGATAATGGACCAAACATGATGACCTCTCAGTGTCTGTATTGCAAACCATAATACCCAAAAGTAGAGAGAGAGTATGGGGAATATTGTCTGCCACGGAGGCAGGGGAATGGTCGGGAAGGGGGGTATACTGGGGAGACTGGTGGTGGGAAATGTGCATTGGTGGAGGGATGGGTGTTTGATCATTGTGTGATTGTAACCCAAACATGAAAGCTTGTAATTGTCTCACAGTGATTCAATAATATTAAAAAAAAAAAAAAGAAAAGACAGAGACCCTGGGAGGCAGGGGTTAGAGGGGAAGGGAGGGAGGAACCGTGACTGGCTAGACAGGAGGGGTCCCGTGGAGCGTTCCTTTGAGGGGTCTTACCTGAGGCCCCTGGCTTGTGGCTGGGGGGACCCGCTTGGTGCACGCTCTGCTGTAGGAGGCTCAGGCACTCCCCCAGGCAGCTGAGGGTGGCAGCAGAGGTAGCTTTCAGGAGCAGCAGGTCCTGGTCCAAGGCAGTGAGGGGGCCGGAGCCTGGCAAGGACTCAATGGCGTGCACCAGGCTTTTCTGCTGTCCTTCCACCTGATTCATCATCTGCATGGGAGAAAGAGCAAAACAGTGAGATGCACCTCCTCCGTTCCGCAAGCCCATCAGCCACCCCTCCTGTGGGGTGGCGGGAAAGGCACAGGGCAGTGGTGAGAGAAATCCCCACCCACATGGGAGACTGGGGAGGTGGGCCTGGGGACGTCTGTTACTGCACCTTGCAGCTCTGACCCAAAGAGAAGTTTCAATGTGAAAGGAACCATTAGTACTGGGAGAGGGGCCAAGGATCGTGCACAGATCTTGCTGTCAGACAGTAAGCTACTGACTGCAGTAAGAAAAGTCCTCTGGACAACTCTATGGCCGCTGTTAGGGAAGGTTATCTGAGACCGGGACACACAAGACTCACAGGAAAATTAATCTCTTGCGTCCCCTCTGTCTCCATTCCTAACTATCCTGGTGCCTTCCTGGAGGTTTGAGTCAGAGAAGTAAAATACAGGGGTGGGGGGCTGGAGGAATAATACAGCGGGTAGGGTGTATGTCTTGCATGTGGCTGACCCAGGTTCAATCCCCAGCATCCTCTATGGTCCCCGGGGCACTGCCAGGAGTAATTCCTGAACACACAGCCAGGAGTAACCCCTGAGCATTGCTGGATGTGACCCAAAAATTAAAAACAGAAAAAAAAAAACCTGGGGCGGGGATCTGTGCAAGTGAGACTGAACCCCAGTGGCTGAACTCACCTCACTTCACCCCACCTCACAATGCTATATAGGTTGTAACTTTCATACCCATGTAAAACAGCAGAAGGGAGTGGAAAGCCTAGAATTCCAAAGCCAGGTCTACTCTAGGGCTGAAGCAATGTCAAACTGACACTGGATTTGTGACGAGATTTTTATTCCAAGGCTACAGGTACACTGAGGTCTAACTACACCTTGGAACTGCTCCAACAAGGAGAAAGGGACTTGAGAAGTGGAAAGGGATTTCTTGTGACTTTCATCTCCATCTTGTTCTACAATCTATTGAGACAGCGGCTGTTGAGTGCACACCCATTTTGGAGCAGACAGTGTGTGAGGAGTTTGGATTCTTTCTCTGGCATCGACCATCATTTAATGAACTCCAGTACTACCAGTGCTTAGACTTTACATACATTTTTCCTTACCAAGATAGGCATTATTATGTCCATTTTGTGGAAGAGATAACTCAGAGTGGGTAACTGGGTAAGTTTTCTTTCCTAGCAAAGAAAATTGGCATCCTGGGAAATAGCAGCATTAAAGCATCCTCACTCCCCATATGGTCATATGCTTGAGAACCAACCAACCGCTGTCAGGACCCTGGCCTTGAATACCAAACTCATCATGTAAACACTGTCTTCTTTCTCCACTCCTTTCTGGAAACAAATACCTGCTATCTTTGACCAGTGTATTCATCTCCTTTATAAATAAAACAGCATCTTCTCTCACTGTGGTAAGAGATCCCAAGTATGCCACAAGTCTACTGAAATCACCGAACTCAAATGACATCGTCGATTGCCTCGAGCAGGCCCCAGTAACGTCTCCTTCATCCTAGCCCTGAGATTATATTCAAGGCTCTTTAGGAGAATGAGACCCATCATTGTTACTGGTATTTGGCATATTGGGTACGCCACAGGGAGTTTGCCAGACTCTGCCATGTGGGCAGGCTACATTCGGTAGCCTGCCAGTTTGTCCAAAGTAGGAATGAGATAATAAGATGTCATAATAGGATGTTCCGGGAACTGGTTTTTATAGTCTCTGAGTCTTGGCCATTGATGGGATTACAAGGCTCCAGGGGGCCAGTTGGTGGGTGTGACCCCCGCCTAATGGAATTTGGAGGATCTGGGTGGAGGATGCTCGGCCCAAATCCGAGTAGGCTTGGAGATCTCGGCCCCGGAACCCGCGTGGCTTTGTCCCTCTGCCAGTACCTTCATGTGTGCGGAGAGTGGTCTCAGCATGGTGGTGGCTGGTCCTGGAGGTCTTTGGCTGCCGGAGCCCTGGTCGGGGTGGGGAGGAAAGCTCAACCCGCTCCCCTCCAAGGGGCCCCGGCGGCGAGGACAGTCAGGCGCGGGGGCAGGAGACTGCACTCTTCTCTTCCGGGAGCTGGTTTTTATAGTCTCTGAGTCTTGACCGTTGATGGGATTACATGGCGCCAGGGGGCCAGTTGGTGGGTGTGGAATTTGGAGGATCTGGGTGGAGGATGCTCAGCCCAAATCCGAGTAGGCTTGGAGATCTCGGCCCCGGAACCCGCGTGACTTTGTACAGCTGCAGATTCTCTAAGGGACACCATTTGCATGATCGGTTCCAGTTTGTCAAGAAATACCACCAACTGGGTCCAATTTCACTTAAGCAAGGAAAAATGTTTATATAGTCTTTGACAGTCAACCATATACAGAACTACTATGATTTGAGCCATGCCCTCAGCCCCTAAGCATGCCACTTTCCATAGAATGTCACATCCTTTCTTTTTAGAGGGGTCACTCCCAGAGTGCTACAGGTGAGATAGCGGGATGTATGCATGTTACAGGGAAGATGGGGTGGGGGGCGTGGTGACCAGGGCCACATCCACCTATATCAGAGAGAAGCAAAGTTGAGCTATTTGTCGTAATTTTCCTAAAATTCCTACAATAAAATCCTGTTTTAGAAAAGTGATGTTAAAAGGGGAAGAACAGGGGCTGGAGCAATAGCACAGCGGGCAGGGCATTTGCCTTACATGAGGCAGACCCGGATTTGATTCCCAGTATCCCATATGGTCCCCAAGCACTACCAGGAGTGATAGGAGTGATTCCTGGTTGCAAAGCTAAGAGTAACCCCTAAACATTGCCGGGTGTGACCCAAAAAGGAAAAAAAAAAGAGAAGAACAGGGGCCAAAGCAATAATAGAGTGGGTAGGGTGTTTGCCTTGCAAGTGGCCGACCCAGGTTCGATAACCAGCATCCCATATGGTTTCCTGAGCACTGCCAGAGATAATTCCTGAATACAGAGTCAGGAGTAACCCCTGAGCATCACCAGGTGTGACCCAAAAAGCAAAGAAATAAAAATTAAAAAAAACTTTAAAAAGGGAAGACCAAAGTATATGATGAAAGGTCTAATAGACCATGTTCTTGATATCACAACACTGAAAAGAGAGGGTGAGTAAAGTCAAGTCATTAACTGCATGGCACAGACTCATTTTTAGTCAATGAGAAGAATGAACTGTATTCTGATTATATACCATAGGATAAATGCTATTTTACAAACATAAAATACAATGTAAATCTCAGGCAACAAAAGCCAAAAGTGACTTACCAAATCTACTCTATCACCACAGAGGACATGCCCAGAGAGGAAACCTGTACATCTGCTCTCTGAAAAGTAGTTTATTAAGAGCTGGTGCAGGAACAGAACAGAGGCTAAATGGGCCCTGGAAGACGGCAGTGACCAGAAGGCCACTGGCCCTGAGTTAGGGAATCAAATGCCTCACAGATCAGGGCATTAATCCATGGGACAAAGAAATTCCTGGCTTAAGATGCCAGTGGACGGATTCCACATGCTTCAGGGTGAAAGGAACATTAAAACTAAAGTAAGTTGGAGAAATAGTACAATTGGTGGGGAGTTAGCTTTGTATGAGATCAACCTGGGTCCAATCCCCCGCACTACATATGGTTGCCAAAGCCCACTAGGAGTGACCCCTGAATGCAGAGCCACAAGTAAGCCCTGAGCACCATTGAGTATGCTCGTTCCCCCCTCTCCCACTCAAAAAAAAACTAAGATGAGCCTAGCGTAGTGCTTATCACTCAGCAGCCCTCTCCCCCACAAAGATTCATCTACCCTCCCTTTTCCATGTGAGGTGAAGCAGAACTCTCCTCTTTAATCACACCCTCCATGCATGCCAGTCTTCAGAACGCATTAGCTTCACTTCACTTCACTTGGCATGGCAAGAAAAGGAGCAAAACGCCAGTTTCTCAGCTCTGAGCTCTTCTTGCTTGAGCATTTCTGAGATGCGGGTCCATGAGACAAAGTCTTCAACAGACTTGAAAGAATGAGTTCTGCTTCTACTCTCTCCCATCTTACTTTCTGCTTCCCTTCACCTCAATGATGCTGTTGGCAGTGACCAATGGCAGGCATACGAGGATGCAGGGCACTGGAGATCACACATGGGTACAAGGGATGACAAGCAACCACACTGGATGCTGCAGAGACCACACTGGGGTGGGGAGGTGGAGGGGGTGGAGGGAGGAATTGAACTCGCAGCCTCTTGCTGCTTCCCCAGGAAGAGTATTAAGGCTTCCCAGCAGATGTTCAGAAGACCTACGGGTTTCACCCATGATTCTCAGTCAACCAGGACTGTGATGCAGGAGCCTCCAGCACTGCATCTGGAGATGCTCAGGGGACCACACAGTACTGGGGATCAAAGCCAGGACAGGCAGCCCAATCATTGTGCTTACCGTCTACTGGCCCCACCCTATCTAACTTTTTAAGTGAAGCCACATACAAGATGATAAAAAGCTGTACCCAGTAATGATTCCAACAACCAAATCTTTTGTTTTATTTGGGGAGCCACACTAGTGGTGTTCAGCTGTCTCAGTGCTTGGATGGGGAGCTCAAACCATGGCCTTACGGCACCTTAAGTCATCTCCACAGCTCTGACAATCAATTCTGAAGGACCCCACATGTTTATAGATAGTACATTACAATCCTCAACAGGAAGATTCATCACTGCTACCAGCCTTCAAAAAAGCAGACCTCTTTTCTGAAGTTCATCAGCATTACTTTCTTTAGTGCATAAAGAACAAACAAACCAAAAAAATCCCATTTTACAGCTAAGTAGATTAACCAGGTATTAAGGCACTTGTCCTACACACAGTTGGCCCCAGTTCTCTCTGGCAGTTGGCTTCCATGACCAGAGACATCACCATCCTATAATAAAGGCAGCAAATGCAAGTTAAAATCCCAGTTCCCCTGAAAATATCAACCAAGGTAGTGAAATTGGCTAAACACAGGTCAAGGAGAAATTTACAGAAAAGCAAAGTTCAAGGAAAGAAAAAATATTCTGTGGCCTGCT